CTGGGGACCTACGAGTCTCGAGTTCTCGGGTTTAGGCTACAGGGATTTAGGGCTTAGGGTTTCGGTGCATGTGGCGACTGTTGTCATTGCCGCGGCTGCTAGTGAGAGGCGGATAACTGTGCTGTTAGCTCTCTTACGTCGATGCAGGTACTGACCGCGTGATTCAAACTTGATGGAGGCGGAGTAGGAATGAGAAGGTGGGTCACGCACCTGATGCGGATGTTGATTCTATCGCACCCAGAAGAGGGCCAGGATGGTTTGCGTGAGGCTCGCAACAATACCGACGAGGACTTTCCAATTCCGCCTCCTGAGACGTACACCGCAACAACTAGCCAGAATCACAGTCGTTCTCGGCTGCAGTAGCAGCAGCAGAATCCTTGAGCCTGACCATGCTGTTGATCCAGAACTTGAGGTTTCGGGGGTTCTGGTCTGGACTTCAAGGCTAGGGCCCTTCGATTCCGGAGCCCTGAATCTGAAGGCTCTGGAATGCATGAGCCGGCCAGTTGAACATCCCAAGCGACCTTCTTTGTCCTGCTTCGGGCTCTGATACAAGGCAACTGGGACGTGTCCCCAGGCATCGAAAATTGCTCGGCGGAGCAAGAACGGGGAGGCTGCTCTAAACTACGGACCATTCGAAGGTTTGCATTTTCAGAAGCAGCTGTGCCCTTTGAACAAAATCCGAACTCTGACCCCTAACCCCCATAGACCGCCACTCAAAAAACCCTAAACGCCCTCGACCCTGCAAACCCAGACGTAGCTTAGAGCAAGCCCCCACATGCATGTTAAATGTTGGCGCTTGTGGCCTGTGCTTGTGGAGGGTTTGGCGCTCGACCGTCAGGGTTGAGGGACTTGGGTTTCAGGATTTGGGTTAGAAGGTTTAGGGATTCGGGCTGTTGGATGAAGTCTTAGGGTTTTGCTGAGGGACTGGAGCTGAGGGTCCCATTCTGAAGCATTCTGCGCTACCTCGGGCCGTGACGGTAGTCTGCCCTGCAACTCAAAACTTGCACCGCGAAGTACCCAGTGCTTCCCGTTTCCTTCACTCAGATAGTGATAGCTTCGAATTTGACTAAGCCCAAAAACCCGAACCACACATGAATAAATTTAATACTATCGGAAATGCGCAGGGCCAAAGCCTAGGTATCCCCTGCATCCTAGACGCTCATGCTCCAAATCCGCCACAAATGTCGTCCTAAACCCAGCTATGTCACATGGGTTTCCAGCGGCGGCAGCAGCTCGAACCTCAGCACAGGCCGGTGGAGACTTATCCATTCCTCATCCGGTTTGACTGGTGGCACGGATGTCGCAGGATTCTGTGAATTGGGGAAGTGTTATGCACGTATGTGCATTATGTGTATTTCTTTGCATCTCACATACGGAACTATTCTGCAAGCCGTCCTGCCTCTTAGATTCATGTTCTTCGATTCTTTCACATCTAATCCTAATTATTCGTATTGCCGGAAGTAACCCTCAATGTCTGCTTCAAATTGTCTGGGCCATTCCCCTCTGAGTACATGGCGTTTTCGCGGTGCCGCTTTCGGAAGAAGGTGCTACGAAGACATCGAAAGCCTGAGGAGCTTTCAGAGGGGCTGCAGATGGCTGCAGGGTTCAGGGCTGTGCGGCTCCAGGGTTTCGGGCTCGAGGCTACGTAGGGCCTGGGGGGTTCAAAATTTAGGGAGCCGAATCTCGGGTTTCAGGGTTTAGGGAGCCTCATACCCTCAAGTAAAGCATATTCTTGCAAGCAAAATCACAAGCCCTATGGAAGATTCCTGGGCCCGCACCTCTCTCTAATGGCGTCAGTCATTAAGGCACTAGGACTTCGGGCCTTTAGCGGTTCCTGCTTTTGCAGCTTAGAGTCTGGCTCTTTTGGTGGTTCACGCTGTAGGGTTTAGTGTTTACAGCACTTGAGGGTTCAGGCTTTAATGGGTTCAAGGGTGCTGAGTTGCAT